AACCGGGGGGCTGAGGAGGGCTGGGACCGCTATGGTTTGGGCACAGCGGGGCTGGAGGTGGCGTGGCTGTGGGCACAGTTCCCTTTTCTATTGCTGGGACGCCGTCAGCTCTGTGTGGCTGTGGTCCCCCTGCAGTGTGGGTGCAATGGAACCCTGTGGCCAGGCTGCCTCCATCCCACCACTCCCTTTTGATTTTTTTTTTTCCTTACCCCTCTGCTGGGTTGGTTTTTTTGTGTGTGTGTTTGTTTGGCTTTTTTTTTTTTTTTTTTTTTTTTTTTTTGCAGTCATATATGGCAACCTTTTGCCTTGGTGACCTCATGTTTGGCAGCAGGCCTTGTGACGCGGGCTGGGATGGATGAAAGTGGCTGCGGGTGTCTCGCGTGAGCTGCGGTGCCGACAGCACTGAACACTCAGCTGGGACCTGGGGACACATCCAGCCCCCAGGGACGGGGGGAACTGGGGCAGAGTCACCGCTGTGGGACGCTCTGGGACCGTGCCCACATCCTCACTGATATAATGACAGCTCCGAGGCCATGTGGGATCTCCTGTGTCCCTTTTGGCAGCGGCCCCGCAGCTCGTGGGTCCTCACTGCTGCACCCTCACCTCCCCACCCTCACCCCGAGAATGGATCGGGATGCAGCAAAACAAGGCAGGAGGCAGTGCCTGCGCTGTGCCTCAGTTTCCCCAGCTGCAGCCTCACTTCCCACAGCTCCCCATAGCAGCTCCGTGGCTTCCTCCCATCCTCAGGCTCTTCTGAGAGGCCCCAGAAGAGGACGGCTGCCCTTAAAAAGGCACCAGGCAGTTCAGCAGGTGCTGTGTGAGGGATGGGGGCTGGTGCCTTTGTCATGGTGGGGCACTGGGGTGGCCCCAGTGCTGCTCGGGGGCAGCAGATCTCCACCTCCCCCTGGGATTGGGGGATTGTCCTGCTTCCAAACCCTCCTGGAAGGCAGCTGAGGATGCACCCATCACGCAGGGCCAGGCTTGGAAGGACCACATGGGGCTCAACGATGAGGGTTTGGGGTTTTAGTGAGGCTGCATGGTGCCCAGGGGACCTTTTCCCTGTCAGGGTGAACGCAGCACTTCTAGGACTCCTGCAGCACCTTCAGCCTTGCACTGAATTGGGCCCATTTGCCCCACGGGGTCCCAACAACTGCAATAATGGGAGGGAAAAAAATCCCATGGAGGAAACCCCCAGGATGGAGACGCTGAGACACAGGGATGAGCACAGCACCTCGAGGCTGTGATGCACCGCCCATCACCTGGTGTGCTGTTGGGATGCCGAACCTCTTCCAAATTGGGATATGCCATGATTTTATGACTCAGGTGCACAGCACAGTCCCGCGCCATCCCTACAGCCACCGCCCTCCCGGGCAGGGTTGTAACCAGAAAGGACCAAAGGCCATCGGACCGGAGTACCTCCACCTCGCTTTTGCTGAACGTCACTTATAAGGACTTGTGTCTCGCCTGTTTATTGAAGTGTAGCACAAAAGGAACAGACTCACCAATGGGATGTTGCCTCCTAAGCATCCCCACATAGATTTTTTTTTCCCTTACAATAATTAACTGTGCTGGGTCCTACCATCAGTCCAAGGTCAATTTAATGCAATAAAACACCTTATATGGCCATATGGCTAACACACCATCACTTAGCCTATTTAGGGTCTTTGTGTAGAGAGGATCCGCCTCTGAGGTTTCGTGGGCTCGTGGTATTTATACCAAAGCAGATCGGGACTCGGTCCCAGAGGAAAGGAGCTCTCACGTCTGCGGTGAGTACTGCCCAGCACTGATTTCTCTTTGCTCGCGGGAACAGGAAGGAACAACCCCACCCCCCCTGCACAGCCCTGGGGGCTCTGGGGTGCCCCGGGGCTTTGGGATACCCCCAGCTTCATTTACACTGCATGGGGGGGCTGAGCCCCACCACGATCCCCCTCCAGCCACAGCGTCCATGGAGCCGAAGAGAACCAGGCTGCAGCCAGCGTGGGTTGCATGATTCCAGGCACGGAGAAATCCCTGTCTTTATTATTATTATTTTATTTGGGGCTATTTGCCTGCTTTCCTCCAGTCTGGAGAGAGCACATTTGAGCATTTTTTCCCATTTTTGGGAAAGGCTGCAGAGGGGCTGTCACTGAGATGGGATCGGCCACCGCTGGGCATCGCCTGCCCCACTCAGGGGTATCAGCTCAGGATGCCACGCGGAGCTCCCTGCCATGAGCTGACAGCTTTGGAGCAAACTTTGGGCATCAGCTGGCACGAGATGAAGGAGCAGTGCTGAGGCTGAGCATTGCCCCACTTTGAGCATCGTGGCCCGCATAGGATTTTGCCGAGCTGTGCATCCCCAGCAGCAAAAGAACTCAAACCCTCAAACCATGCAGAGCCCAACCTGGCAGCCGGGCAGAAAGCTGAATCTGCTGCATTTAATGCATTTTTCCCTCCCACCCCAGCTTTTCCCCCAGGTCCCCCTGAGCGCCAGCCTCTCCCAGCCCCACCATGTGTGAGGAGGAGACCACCGCCCTGGTCTGTGACAACGGCTCTGGGCTCTGCAAAGCCGGCTTTGCTGGTGACGATGCCCCTCGCGCCGTCTTCCCCTCCATCGTGGGGCGGCCCCGGCACCAGGTGGGTCCCAGGATGTCTCCTTTCTCTGCTCCTTCCTCTGATTGCTTAAATGAAGCTAACGAGGCCATTTCTCCCACTGGCGTTAGGGCGTCATGGTAGGCATGGGGCAGAAAGACAGCTATGTGGGCGATGAGGCGCAGAGCAAGAGGGGTATCCTCACACTCAAGTACCCCATCGAGCACGGCATCATCACCAACTGGGATGACATGGAGAAGGTGAGAACCCTCCTGGGACAGGGAGAGGGGAGAGGCCCGGTTCCATCCCACGGGATGACCCCACCTCCCTTCTGCCTGCGTAGATCTGGCACCACTCCTTCTACAACGAGCTGCGCGTGGCCCCCGAGGAGCACCCCACGCTGCTGACCGAGGCGCCGCTCAACCCCAAAGCCAACCGTGAGAAGATGACCCAGGTACGGCGCCGCGGGGTTCAGTGTGCGTGGGGGGGGGCGTGGAGATGTGTGACCCCATCCAACCCACCGCCCCTCCTCGCAGATCATGTTCGAGACCTTCAATGTCCCGGCCATGTACGTCGCCATCCAGGCCGTGCTCTCCCTCTACGCGTCCGGCCGCACCACCGGTGAGTCCCACATATGGTGTCCACCATTGGGGGTCCTTTGGATGCCTCCGAGCCCCATCCCTCACCCTTCTTCCCCTCCCAGGCATTGTTCTTGACTCTGGGGACGGCGTCACCCACAATGTGCCCATCTATGAGGGCTACGCTCTGCCCCACGCCATCATGCGTCTGGACTTGGCCGGCCGCGACCTCACTGACTACCTCATGAAGATCCTCACGGAGAGGGGCTACTCCTTCGTCACCACCGGTACGGGGTCAGGGATGGGGGTGGTGGGATGGCGGTCCCGCAGAGCCACGCTGAGCCCACCTGTCCCCTGCAGCCGAGCGGGAAATCGTGCGTGACATCAAGGAGAAGCTCTGCTACGTGGCCCTGGACTTTGAGAACGAGATGGCCACGGCTGCTTCCTCCTCCTCCCTGGAGAAGAGCTACGAGCTGCCCGATGGGCAGGTCATCACCATCGGCAACGAGCGCTTCCGCTGCCCCGAGACCCTCTTCCAGCCCTCATTTATCGGTGAGCCCACCCCAATGCTGCCCCATTGCTCACGCCCCAGCGCACCCTACTGCACCCATGAGCCATAGGCAGCCTTTTGCGGGAGCCCTGTGTAGGTGTGGGGAGGTTGGGGTGCTGAGAGCCTCCCTTCCATCCCAGGCATGGAATCTGCCGGCATCCACGAGACCACCTACAACTCCATCATGAAGTGCGACATCGACATCCGCAAGGACCTGTATGCCAACAACGTGCTGTCCGGAGGCACCACCATGTACCCCGGCATCGCCGACCGCATGCAGAAGGAAATCACAGCGCTGGCCCCCAGCACCATGAAGATCAAAGTAGGCGATGAGGATCATCCCACCCCAAACCCTCCCTTCGGTGGGGTGACCTCGGGGTGCTTTGGGGGTCCCGATCTCGCGCTAACAGCCCCTGCTTTGACAGATCATCGCCCCGCCAGAGCGGAAGTACTCGGTGTGGATCGGTGGCTCCATCCTGGCGTCCCTCTCCACCTTCCAGCAGATGTGGATCAGCAAACCCGAGTACGACGAGGCCGGGCCCTCCATCGTCCACCGAAAGTGCTTCTAAGCGCCCTGCCCCGTGCCTGGTCTAGGGCACCCCGCTCCTCCTCCACCCCACTGCTCCTCCCCATCCCCCACTGCGCAATAAAGCCTTTTCTCCAGGCTCTGCCCCCTCTCTGGGAGATTTTGAAGTGTTGTGGGGTGGGAGGGGGCGGGATGGAAAGCAGGGAGCAGCGGGGGGAGGATGAGCGCAATCCTGACCCCCAGCCCTCTCTTGGTGCCCCCAGCCTCACGGTCACGCTCTCACTCTGCTGTGAGTGCCTCCAACTCTTGTTGGTGCCCACACCGCACGGTGCTGCCCCGACCCCACAGTGGTGTCCTGACCCCGTGATTGTTTCCCTGACCGCATGGTGGTGACCGACCTGATAACGACAACCCCAGCGCCATGGCGTTGCCCTGATCCTATCGCGATGTCCCACCCCGATCTCGGTGCCCCAGCTGTCGCTGATGCCTCCAACCACGTGGTGGTGCTCGGACCCTACGGTGGTGTCCCCGACTTCTTCGCAGCGTCTCCTCCCCGCGCTGACACCTCCCTCACCCCGTCCCGGTGCCCCCTCAACACCACTCCCCGTCGCCACCCTTTCCTCGTTCCAACGCAGCCGAGACCACCCCTATGGCGGTGGTTCATTTGCATAAATCACCATATTCCCGCCCCATCTCCCCGCCCACGCACGCTGACACCGCCCCTTCTCCCGCGCCACGACGTCACGCGGAAGCAGCAAAGCCCCGCCCCCTCATTTGCATGGCTTTCGCGCGCGGCGACACCGGGAGCGGCGGCGCTGGGATGGGGCGGAGCGGCGCGGCGCTGCGCCTGGCGCTGGAGGGCAACATCGGTACCGGGCGGCGGGGCGGGGCGGGGCGGGGCGGCGGCGGAGCGCGAGTCCCACGCGTAACCGCCGCGCTCCGCCCGCAGCCGTGGGCAAATCGACGTTCCTGCGGCTGCTGGGCCGCGCCTTCCCCGCCTGGCAGCGGGCGGCAGAGCCGGTGGCGCGCTGGCGGGAGGTGGCGGCGGGCGCGGCGGAGGTGAGCGGCGGCGGTGCGGGGAGAGACCCGCGTGGGTGCGGACCCGCGGCTGAGCGCCGGCCCTTCCCCGCAGGGCGGAAATCTCCTGCAGCGGCTGTACCGCGACCCGGCGCGCTGGGCCTTCACCTTTCAGACCTTCTCGTGCCTGGGCCGCCTGCAGACGCAGCTCGAGCGGCCGGAGGGCCCCGTGCGGGTCTCTGAGCGCTCCGTGTACAGCGACAGGTGCGGGGCGGGGGGGACCCCGTGCGGGTCCGGTGCCGCTGCGGGTGTGTCAGCCCCCCTCTGCTCCGCCCGCAGGTACGTGTTCGCCAAAAGCCTGTTCGAGGGCGGGCAGCTGGACGCTCTGGAGTGGGCCATCTACCAGGAGTGGCACACGTTCCTCGTGGGGCAGCTGGGCGCGCACACCGCCCCGCACGCGTTCCTCTATCTCCGCGCCTCCCCGCAGGTGTGCGGGAGGGAGAGGAGGAGGAAGGGGCCGGGAAAGCGGTGCGGGTGCGATACGCGGCGCTTTGCTTCGCAGAGATGCCTGGAGCGGCTGCGGTGCCGGGCGAGGCCGGAGGAGCGCGACGTGACCCTGCGGTACCTGCAGCAGCTCCACGCGCAGCACGAGCGGTGGCTGCTGGAGCGCAGCGCTGAGTGAGAGCCCTGCCCGGTTCTACCCGCCCCTGCTCTGCCCCTCCCCAGTTCTGACCCCCCGCCCCTCCGCAGGGTGCATTTCGCAGAGGTGAGGCACGTCCCCGTCCTGGTGCTGGACGTCGAGGGGGACTTTGAGCACGACGCAGCTGCGCAGGACGCGCTGATGGCACGGGTGGGTACGGCACCAACTGACCTGCAGCCTTCAGCCTTCATCCATGGGTGACGCTGCCCATCCCTGCCGTGCAGCACAGCTGGTGCCATCCATCCCATCCTGCAGGTGGAGGATTTCGTGAAGGCGCTGCGAGATGGAGCTCCACCACAACACCCCGAGGCCAAATGAGCCCCGTGGCCACGAGGATGGGCACACGGCTGGCACTGCTGCTGGGCCCTGAGCTGCACTCCCTGCAGCAGCACTGTGGGTATCCACGAGGCCGCTGGGAGCTGCAGCCCTACACGTGCCACAGATCCCCCCCCACATCTGTTCTGCAGCACAGGGTGAACATGCTTGGGTCCATTCCAATGGAAAACAGGAAAAAAAAAAAAAAGAAAAAAAAAAAAACAAAGCAAAAATCTCTGCTTTTATTTGTGTTTAGGGTACAACAAAATCCAGATGCTTTCTTGTTTGTTTTTTCTTTTTATTTTCTCCTTGAAACCAAAAGCGTCACGCAGCTCTTCTCTGCCTCGAGCAAAGGAGAGATGTGGGGGCACCTCACTGTGCAGAGGATGAGATCCACATAGAACCCCCCCCCCTTTATGTCCACTGCTGGGGACAGGGCCTCCTGGGACAGACAGCGGGCTCATCTCTCCCTTTCTTCTTATAGGATAAAATCTCTCATGAGGGCTGCTACAGGTCAGAGGTGTCTTTCATCTCCTAAATCCTTTTTTTCCAGGGCAGGGAGAGCTTTGCTGTGCCCCCAGGTGGCTGTTAGGGCCTGTGCGGGAGTCGTGCATGGATAACAACAGCGCAGGGATGCTGTTTCTCCTGGTTTTCTTTCCCGCCTGGTTATCTCTGGGGGGGGAGGAGGGGGAGATTGGGGTCCCTGTGCTGCTTGCTGCAGTGGGGCACAGTGCTCAGCTGTGGCTCCCAGGACTGCACTGCTTTGGCAGGGGAATGGTGAGGGTTCGGTGCCCACTGGGTGGGCAGTGTCCTCATGTCTGGATTGAACACCCCTGGAATGGGTGGGGAGGGGGATGCAAGGAGGACTCTGCCCTGAGTGCGGGAGGCTGCGGCCACCTGACTGATCCAATGTAAACACGGGTGGGGCGGGTAGGAAACTGTGGGGCAGAGCAGCCTGGTGGGAGTGGGAGAGGGGGGCAGAGGCAGCCCCACAGTAACAGTGGGACCTGCGGAGCCCCCAGAGCCACCCAGCAACCACAGAGCAGGGTTCCCGGCACGGGCCCACAGCTGGCGACCCTACAACAACAACAATAAGCAGCAGGGATGCTGACATGGACCTCGCCAACAACGGTCCGCCACAGCCCTGCAGTAACCATCAGCCCCACCGCTGAGTACCCTGCAGTAACACCCGAGCGGGACGCTGACGCAGCCCTACAACAACAACGACCACCGCCGCACACCCCCACCGCCAGCTCCCGCCCCCGCCCCCCCCCCCCCCCCGGCCCCCCGTTCCCGCAGCGGAGCGCACCTCCCCTCTGGGGCCACCTCCGACCCCACAGCCTTTGGGCTCAGTTCTCCCCTCGCTCCCCGCAGAGCCCCGCGTTGCCCTCCCCGCACCCCCCCGAGTGGCGGCCGCAGAACAAAGGACGGCGGCGGCGGCTCCATCGCTCCGTCCCCAACCCCAGCCGTGCCGACCTCCCCCCTCCCCTTTTCTTAATCGGATAACGCTCTTTCTGTACGTATCGGCAGACAGAAAGTTGCCGCTGTGCTTCGGGCTGAAATTGAACGAGCGAAGGCTGAAGTTTTGCAAAGAATTAAGAAAAAAAAAAAGGGGGGGAAGGGAAAAGCACCCCTGTTTGCCAAGAGTTTGGGGCGCATGGATGCTGTCTGTTGGAAGCAGGGTAGCAAAGTGAAGTCGTCTCTCCCGTGCTTCCCTCTGTCCCTGCATGAGCCTTCAGGAGGGGGAAGCAGGGAGCCCCTCCTCACCCAGCGCATCACTCTCCCATGGCCATGGGGCACTGAGAGGCGAGTGCTGCCCTCCCTGCACCCCCCTGCTGTGGTTCGGGGCGATGTGCGGGGTCAGAGGGTGCTTATCTGTGGGCTTAGGTTGGCTTGAAGGCTGCAGTGATGGCCCCCAAAATCTCAGCTGGTCCCCTCAAAATGCCAGCGCGTGGGGATGGGGGATCGCCCAGCACTATGACTTGTTTCTTTCTGCCAATTCTTCGTGTTAGAATGGCTAAACACTGTGCAAGAGCTCTCCCACCGCCACCCCCATCCCCACCCCCGTGCTGTTGGGGGCCCCACGAGAAGGGGACAGCCCTGTCCCCAGGCCACCCCGCCCTGCCCAGCGCCCCTGGCACCAGCTGCGAGGCCAACAAGTCAGGGCAATTTCTGTATCTGCACATGTGACAAAGAGTGCAGCACCTTGCACCCACATTTCTGGTTTTACCGGCTTGGGGTGGTTGGTGGTTGCAGTGAGCTGATTTATGATACGGCACATACGGTTCTTTAACCATAGGAGATGGCGAAGGTTGGCCCTCCCTTGTCTCTGGGGCTCAATTTCAGGGGGGTTCCTGGCTCTTTTTGGTTGTTCAGAGCACAGTTTTTACTTCAGGCAAAGCTTTAAGCCAAGAGGTGTGGATGGGGCAGCGCTCCCTGCTCGTCACTGTGGGATTCTGCCCTGCACCAAGCGTTGCTACTTCACTTTTTGGGGCCTCACAGCCGCTGCAGCTGGATGAGTGGCTGCCTGTGAGGGCAGGATTTTGCCTTAAAGCCACAGGCAAGGTGACAGCTGAGGCCCAGGGAGCAGCTGATTTTGGGGACACTGGGGCTTTCTGCCCCTGCATTGTAAATCAGCCCCTTTGCCTCCCAGCAGCACGCACTTTGCCCTTGACAAAAAGCCATTAAAAATATCCTTGAGCCTGGACTTTGAGGCTGCCCTTCTGCGTCGCTGCAACGTTAAAAGTGGCTCAATAAGACACCGCTGGGGATGATGGTGGCAGCAGAGGGGCTTCCCCAAAGCCCCCCTCATGTCAAGGGGCGAGAGCTCCCGGCGGGTCTCTGCACGCCCTGAGCTCAGCATGCTGTTCCCACGTCCCCTTGCCTCTCCCAAGGGTTGGCTGTACCATGACCGGTTCTGCCTGTTCCTCCCTGAGCGCCGCTGGCTGTGAACCTCCTGTGCTCAGCCCTCGCATCTCCATCACTCCAGCACTGCACTTGTTCTTCCTCCTGCTGGGTTTCTTTGAGCCATGGGTATTCTTGCAAAACAGAGAAGGAGGATGCTGGAGGCTGAAATTTGTCATTGCTCAGTGATGCTGCCAATGCCACCCTCCTCAAATGGCTCTCCATCTTCCTGCTTCATTAGTGTAAAAAATCAGCCTCTCACCAACTGCTCCCTATCAACACAAAAAGCACACTGCAAAGCCCTTCTTGGCTGCCCTCCATCAGCTTTGAGGGAGCAAATGCCGAAGGGAAACCCTGGTACTGGTGCACGGGACCCTGAGCTGTTCTGCACTGAATTTGTCCATCTTTTGGGCAGGAGGGTTTCCCTGATTTCATGGAATCATAAAGGTTGCAAAAGATCTCTAAAATCCCCAAGTTCAACCCCAGCCCACCCCCTGTGTCCACTGACCCAAGAGTCCCATCTCCATGGCTCTCAAACACCTCCAGGGCAGTGACTCCATCACCTCCCTGTGCAGCTGTGCCAGTGTATCACCACTCTGTCTGACAGAAGTTTATCCTGACACCCAAACGGGTCAGTGTTTGCTGGCAGAAAAGCTGTGATATCACTCCAACCCAGGACAAGGAGGGTTTGTCCCTGAGGAGGCACTGGGGAGCGGGATGTTACACCACCACTGTGATTTTGTGGTATAACAGCCTAAATGGAGGCGGTGGACCCTGTTTTACGGGCCGGGTGTGAATTCAGCCACTTTGGGGACGGCTGTGTGACACCTGCCACACCACCACAGTGCTGCTGCCACCTCCTCATGTAGGGCACACGGACCACAAGTCCATCCACACCCCGTTCACCACAGCCTGGTCCCACTGCCAACATGGAGCACGACAGCATCACAGCACTCTGGTTCTGTGTTGGTACCTTCAACCACCACCCACTCTTGATGCTTTGCTCCTGCTTTGTTGTGACCCACTTTGTGGTGGCAGAACGTCTTGGCCAGGTCAGCTCACAGCAGCCGGGCCTGTGGCCAAGCCTGCGGTTGGGCCTGCAGCTGGGCTTGCCGCTGGGCTGCAGCCAGGCCTGGAGCCGGTCCTGTGGCTACTGCTATCAACTTCAGACTACGCTGCTCTGTGGCCATGTCTCTGGTTGGGCTCGTGGCCGGGCCTGCAGCTGGACACCTATAGCTGCTCCTGTGGCTGGGCCTGTATTAGGGCCTGTGGCTGCAGGGCCCGTGGCTGGGCCTAAGGTTGGACCTACAGCTGCAGTGCGGCCTATAGCTGGGCCCACAGCTGGATCCATAGCCGGCCTGCAGCACGACCCGTCTCTGCTCCCGTGGCTGTGACTGCAGCCATGTCTCCAGCCGGGCCTGCGGCTGGTGCTGCCGCTGGACCTGCAGCTGCTCGGCTGTCCTGCTCCGTGCTTGGCCTGCAGCCGAACCCGCGCCCAATCCCTGCGGTCGGCCTGCAGCCCCCCAAACCGCAGCCCTCTCCCCCTCCCCCGCCCGACGCTCCGGGACGGCTCGCTGCTGGCCGCCGTCCCCGGGCCACCCCCGGTCGGGGCCGCTCGGCGGGTGGAGGCGGAGCCCCCCCGCGCCGGGGCGGGCGCAGCGCCGCACAAGATGGCCGCCTCGTAGCGGCGGGGGCAGCGGCGGGGCGAGGTAGGGAGCGGCGGGGCCCGGCGGGGCCGGGGCGGGGGCGGCGTGGCGGAGGTTGGGGACAAAGCGGGGCGGCGGGGCGGGACCCCTCCTTCGGCTGCCCCCCCCCCCAACACGGGTTCCCCGTGCGCCCAACCCGCCCCGGTGCCCCCCTCCCCCCATCCTTACCGAAAAATACCGTTTTTCCGCTTTTAATATATTTTCCGGCGATTCCTGCCTCCCAACCCCCTCCCCTTTCTCCGCGGTTCTCCCCTCCTATCCCCTCCCCGACCCCC